CACTTTCTTGATTCCTCTGTGTCAAGGAAAAGCCATCCAATGATCTCTTCTCTGCACATAGATTGGCTTTTGTGGGCATCATGAAAAATGGGATGCAATAGGTTTGAAACAACATTCCAGTATTCGAATTTCAAAGATAGTGACACTTGGGTGAAAACAATGTTTAGAGAAAGCAGAGCAACCCAATCATTAAGAAGGTTAATACTATGGACCTGAGAGTAACACATTGAAGAGCTAAATAGGTACTCTTTCCATAAGGATTTTCCCACTGTTGTAACATGTTATTAACATTTATAACTGGAAAAAATAAATCTATGATCAATTCAATTTAGGGAATTTTGACATTTAATTTATCAAACAATAAAGTTCAGTGCCTACAGTGGGCCAGAGATTTATGGGAGCTGGGTATACAAAACTGAATAATACAAACAGGGCTTGTGTTTTTTGGAACTAAAGTAAGTATGCCATTTAGAAAAGTATATTCGAAATGGGGTGATATGTCTTCCAATAAGGTTAAAAATCATTTATGGTGTGATAAATATTTCTTACTGCCTTTTATACAAGACACGAATATACATAACACACATAAATGGGTATAATATTTGCGGTGTTACTATTTCCAAAGTGCAGATGATTAAGGGAACAGATTGTCTACAAAATACCTTTAGGGGGCAAAAGTTTAAGAAAGTTTGAGGAATACTGCTTAGCTCATGATAAAAGGTTAGGTAAGACCATGGAGTAACTAGAATGATAGTAAAGATAATCCAAGCACAGAGATTGGCATATCATCTGTGAGGATCATATTCAGTAAAACTAAGAGGCTCCCACTTCTCAGACTTGTTGAATATGTTAATGAGTCAGTTTCAATCTGTGAAGTGTGTTGAAAGTTGTTATTTACTGGAACTGAAGTTAGAGAAAGAATGAAGGCTATAACCCTAAATACTTCTGAATTGAGAACATATCACTTTATAATACTAATCATTATGCATTGAGAAAGAATTTAGTTCTTTTATTTTCTACCAGAGGAATATTTTCAAATCCTTTATAATGACAGCTGTTCTGTACTTAGATGTGACATATTATTACTAATAGCTTTGAAGGATATACAGAGTACCAGATGAGGTGATAGAATTCAGTCCTGGTAATAGCTAGGTGGCCAAGAATAAGTCCTCTTCACATTTCTTAATTTGTATTATCACAGAGATGAATCATTTTGTGACTATTCTTCTATTCAAGAGAGAGCTTGCATAATGAACACATAACTGAATGGCTAGTACTATGATCTGAGTTTCTGTTTGTGAAGCATCAGCTTGACCAGTCCCAGTGAGGTCTGCCCCTGGGAACAGTGGATCATTGCAGGGTTGGATGGGAATTCACTCTTATGATGAATAGTGTCTCAGTCAGTAGAGACATAGCTTCAAAGGGCTGCAGTTGAAATGACACAAGTTCACACATTTTGAAATCCTGTGCCATTTGAAAATGGCATTCTGCCCTCTTTTACCCAAATGAGAATATACTGATAATGATGTGTCTTCGAAGGTGTCAGCTGGAAACTGTTTACAAATTAGACTTAAATATAGCTAAGTGACAGGTATAGTTCTATCATTTTATAACCAGCTTAGGTGACTGTTTTTTTATTTTTTTGACATTTCTTATGTAAATAAAATTTGAATTTCTCTGCCACCCACAAGGTTTGCTTTCTAAATGCTTAGACATTTAGAACATCTTTTTCATTAAAAAAAAACCAGAATATCTATTTTAAATCTTTCTTTAAAAACCTTAACAGCTCTGGTCCTATCAAAACTACTCCCTATTAAGTGATTGTATAATTTGCTCCAAGTTTGATCCTGACTTATTTGACTAATGCTTAGATTTGCTAACTTGAAACTCTAATGCATCATGATTTCTAGCTTTTTTTTTTTTGTAGAGTGAAGTTCTCGCCAGTATGTTACCATTTTTTTGTTACCCTGACATGATCCGAGAAATTTTATTTGGATAATATCTTGTTTTCTACATACAGGAGCCATCAGGTAACTGGACTTTAAAGGCCACAGAGAAGACATTAGACTGAATTTTTTTAGGTGATTTGAGCAACTTTTTTGATTATTAAACATGGTCTTATTAATATGAACTTCTATTATGAAACTATTGATATAATTGGACCACTTGTATACAGGGGCAATTATATCATATTTAAAATGTGCCAGTAGTTCACCTGTTTTTGTCTGTGTAAACAAATTGATGAAAAGGATGAAAAGCCTTGAGCTTTATAAACTGTTAGCTCTATTTAATCTCTCTTGGAAAAATATCAAAACTTAAGTGTTTTCATTTTGGTCAATATGTAGATCATGAGATGAGTGGATAAAAAAGCATGTCTGTGTTTCAGAGACACTTGTTAGAAAAAGGAGGAACATGAGCATCTAGTATGTATAGGAGAGTCTTAGAGACAATGCATATTTCTCTTTTATGCAGTTTTCTGTGTGTGTGTGTGTGTGTGTATTGCATGTATGTTTCTGTTTTTCCTCTTGTACTAATTTCATTTAACTTTATTTTTCTACTAATTATCTCTGAGAAAGTATTTATGCAGTGGTTTTATTTCTGTTTTGATGAGTTAATGATTCTTTTTATATAATGAAATCAGTAAGTTGAATTACACACACATATGTAATCACACACATGGGTGGTGTTAATATTGGTGCTGAGGGTGATGCTGATGATTTACTTGGGGTGGGGAGTGGTGAAATCAACAAAGATTGTTCAGGGATTTAGTCCCCTCCTTCTGGAATCATTCCAAGGAAGCATTAGTTTTTGTATAAACAATGGGATAGGAATTTCCAACAAAAGAAAGTGCTACTACAGTTAATTCCATCTCCTCTCATCTTTCAAGGAAAACACAGTGAGTTGGGGAGATTGAGGGTTAAAATAACCTTTGTAAAGTCCTTCATTAGAGTCTGTTGATGATGCCTGTGCTCAAGGCATGAGTCTTCTGAGGAACACAGGGCACTGCTCCTCCTGTAAAAAGACGATCCAGAGGCTCTCCCTAAGTACATTGCTATCACTGCCTGTTGTCCAGAATTTTATTGAAAATCACTTAGCTCCATGAGAAATTCAAATGCAAGAAACACATATTAGCTTCTTGGATTCAAATCCAGGCTTTAACACCACAAACTGTATATTGTTAAGCAAATTATATTTTGCTTTATCTCAGTCGTAAAATGTCTCATTATACCTCATTTGAGAATTCAATGAGAAAATATGTATAAAGTCTTAGCAAAATGTCTGGTACATGGTGCATAGCATGTATTAAATGATTTATTATTTGCATTTTTAAAATTTGTATTTGTATATAAATTATGTGTTTCTTTATAGACATTACATTGCAGTTAATTTAACTTTATCTGGAGACCAATAATACGTTTATTATTTATGCCATTGAGAGGGTAACAGGCAGGAAGGCCAGAGGCATCCAAATGGAGGAAATAAGCTACAAGTGCCAGACATTTCTATCTCTCTTAAGCAGCAGGAGGAAACAAACTAGCGATACTTTTTTTCCTTCTCTATACAAATTTAAAAGGAGGTATCTCTTAAAATGCTGTGTTGCCATGACACCTGGTTTCACCTGAAGCTAACTATTCTCAAACCTTGAATTAACCAATACATTTTTCTTATGGAAATGTTTGTCTTAAGCTATGTTAAATGTACTCTGCATTTATCCCAGACTCTGTCATCAAGTTGGTTCTGCCAAATTGCTCAGAACCTACTTGACAAACTGGTATGTTATACTCAGATATTGTTCCCCTAATCTATGTAAATGAAACTATCTGTATGGTAATCTGCCCTTCTACAAGATTCAAGTCAATTGTTTTATGGTCTGGGACGAATTATCTGGTGCCATTCTGAGTTTTAAGACATTCCTTTCTTTTCATTAACAGACTGCTGGTGACTATCTAACATCCAGCTGAAGACTAGCAGGGGGGTACTCTTTCTGCCCCTTTCTGATGGCTATGTCAGAAGCTTTCTCTAGCTCCTTTATACTTTAATAAAACTTTATTACACAAAAGCTCTGAGCAATCCAGCCTCATCTCTGGCCCAAGATTCAATTCGTCTCCTCCAGAGGCCAAGAATCCCAGCATCTTATTGTTCAGCAACAACCTTTCATCATCAACAAAATTTTATAAATGAATGACTGAATCAAAATAAAATGAGATTCTTTTTACTTTACTTCTTGGCTAACCTGTGATATTAAAAAATCACAGTACATAGTGTAGGTAAGGCTATGGGAAAAATTTCTACTTCTCTGTTGATGAGTGACCTACAACATCTTATCACGTATTTATTGATCATTTAGATTTATTTTTCCTTTAGTTTTTTTATATTTTTATTTATTTATTTTTTGTTCATTGCTTAGAGATATTGCTTTAATTTAGATATTAATTCTGTGTATACCCTCTAAAATTTAAATCTTTCTTTAAACTATTATGCTTTTGTTAATTGATGTGAGTTTCTTTTGTTATGAGACAGCAGGAAAAAAATGAAATCACTAAATATATCTATATGGAATTTCAGTGATTGGTAAATAAGATTCTTCTACCCCTAGAATGCACACAATCATTATCTTGGTAAATGAAAAGTAAAGATAATTTTTGCTTTACCTCCTTATTAAAAGTTTAATCAATATTCAGCTTTGATAAGATATTAACTATACATACAATTTAGTTAGTTTTCAGTTGGAAAGGTAAGTGAGGCACCTCATTTACTTAAAAATGTGTCCTTTTTCCACACTTCTCTAAATTACTTCTTCATTAGTATATAAGATTTTTGAGGTTAAAGATGTTGTTTTAATCAGTTTTGTATTATGTGCCCTGAAAGTATGAAACATAATAACTATACTGCCCATTGATTACATGAAAAAAACAAATTTTCTAAGATTTCAGGGAATCTCTCATAATAATTATATTTACAGGTAATTTTATCCAGAACATAGACATTCAGAAGCAACTATGGAACAAAGGAACAATGTAACTGAATTTGTCCTCTTGGGACTCACTCAGACTGTCCAGGATCAGAAAATATTATTTGCCATGTTCTTACTCATCTACATTGCAACCATGGTGGGAAACCTACTCATTATTGTGCCTGTAGTGTTCAGTCCAACCCTCGATGCTCCCATGTATTTCTCTTCTTGGCTACCTATCATTTATGTGTTAGTCGCTCAGTCATGCCCGACTCTTTGTGACCCCATGGACTGCAGCCCACCAGGCTCCTCTGTCCATGAGATTTTCCAGGCAAGGATCTGGAGTGGGTTGCCATTTCCTTCTCCAGGGGATCTTCCCAACCCAGGGATCAAACCTGGGTCTCCTGCACTGCAGGCAGACTCTTTACCGACTGAGATACAATGCTGTTTATTCTACTACAGTCATCCCAGATATGATAGCAGGCTTACTGTGTGAGAAGAAAAACATTTCCTTCCAAGCTTGCATGACTCAGCTTTTTATGTGGCACTTTTTTGGTGGTGCTGATATATGCCTTTTGGTCGTTATGGTCTATGACCGCTATGTGGCCATCTGCAAACCCTTGCATTATTTGACAATCATGAATCAGCAAGTGTGTGCTCTGCTGCTGCTGTTGGCCTGGGTTGGTGGGTTTTTACATGGCGTATTTTATCCTCTCTTTGTTTACAACCTTCCCTTCTGTGGCCCAAATATCATTGACCACTTCATCTGTGATGTGTACCCCTTGTTAAAACTTGCCTGCACTGACACCCACATCACTGCTTTCACAGCGGTGGCCAAAGATGGGGCAATGTCTGTGGTCATCTTTCCACCCTTAGTCGTCTCCTATGGGGTCGTCCTGCACTCCCTAAGGAATGTTAGTCAGGAGGGGAGGTGCAAAGTCTTGTCCACCTGTGGCTCCCACATTACCATGGTGGTCCTCTTCTTTGTGCCCTGTATTTTTCCATATGTGAGACTTCCTTCCACCTTACCCATCAATAAATCCTTAACTGTGTTTTACACCACTATCACCCCTATGCTGAGCCCTCTAATCTATACTCCGAGAAATAGTGAGATGAAAACTGCCATGAAAAACCTCTGGACCAGAGAAAGAAAATGAGACAGCAGGAAATGTATGATCCACTTTCAAAGAAGAATTTCTCTTTGCTGGTGTAATATCAAATGCTCTTGGGTAATATCAAAATTTATTAAATTTCTCCTCAGGATTCAATTAATTGGGTATGATAAAAACATTTATTATGTGAATTCTTCTAAAGAACAAAATGTATCTTTAATTTTCCCATTATTTTCTAGTTTAAAGTATATATTTTGTTTGAAATACAACTTTAAGGTTGTCTCATTTTTTTAAAGAAACTATATATAGTTTTGTAGCATAAAATGTCTCTACTGAGACTATAGATATACATTCTATATATGAGTTTAGTTATAGTTAACACAGGTACTGTGTGGTATATTGCGCGCAGGTAGCAGGAGCAGCAGGAACAGTAGCCGCCGTGCGGGGGAGCCATGAAGCACTAAGAGGTAAGAAATGAGAAAACGGGGATTGAGCGACTGCCGCAGACCTATTTTTCTTTTTCGTGAGACAGTCGGACCCGGTTTTAATTCCTGTGCCCAGAAAAGAGAGCCGGAGGGCGCAGGTGCAGTAGGAGTGCGTTGTGCCCAGGGCCACTTGTAAATCACAGTGTGCATGTGTCGGGGAGGTATTTATAACCCTGGCTGTTTTGGGGGTGCCTTTTCTTGGGGTCTCTGCAGTACCTGGGAAGCTTGCAGGTTCCTCGCAGCTCCCCCTGCGGGATGAATTGTAGACTTTGGCAGGGGAGGAATGAGGGTGTAGAACCCTTGCTCTCACTGAGGGTGTCTTGCACAAACCTTACACCATGCCTCCGCCTCGGGCTTAGAAAGGGGCTTTGCTGTCAGTTCTCTCTGGTATGACCTTTGGACCCTTTCCCTTGCCCCGCCCCAGATGGCTCCCCGAGAGAGGCTTAGGCAGTGAAGGAGGTGTAGCTGCAGTGTTAGCTCCTGCTGAACAGCAAAGCTGATCTTTGCTTTCTGGTAATCTAAGAGATCATCTGCGTCAAGCCCTGCGTGTCACCAAGGAGAAATCTCACATCCACAGCCACTTTTGAAGTCCAGGGCTTCTGACTCTTAACTAGGGCTTCTTTTACCCTTAAAACGAAGTGTTCTGATGAATTTATCAACCTAGATGATAATATAATAGTAATAATTTAATTAATGCTGTCTGTAGCATTAAATAATAAACTAATTTATTATTAAAATTCATAATAATTTAGAGAGTGTTACGTTTGTGCCAGTGAGAGTCTATTACCTTGTTTTCTTAGCCTCACAGCCCTGTGAGGTAGGAGACTATTATTATTGTTGTTTTTGTAAATTAAGTAACAATCTCAGAGATGTCATATGACTTGCTCAAAGGTCCCCAGCTAGTTAGTAAATGCAGGACAGAGAGAAACTCAGGACTCCAGAGTATCAGTTGCTAACCACTTTGCCATACTGGTTCCCAAATGAAAATTAGCCAGTTGAGAGACTTTTTTCCCCTTCCTGAGTTTAAAAAAAGTGTGTTAAAATACACATAAAATTTACTATCTTAGTCATTTTTAAGGGTACAATTCAGTGGCATTACGTACATTCACATTGTTTTGCCACCATAACCACCATAACTACATCCACCTCCAGAACTCTGTTCTTTTCATCTTACATAACAGAAACTCTGTACCCATTAAACATTAACCCCCTTCTCTCCTCTGCCCAGCCCCTGGCTACTGTCATTTTACTTTCTGTCTCTGAATTTGATCATGTTAGGTGGTTCATATAAGTGTAAGGAGACAGTCTGATTTTTGTGAAATACCACTGCTTCTGCCCACTCCCTTTACTACTGCTACTATTACTATTATTACTTTCTGTGGTAATATACCCAGAATCTTTTGAAACCTTTAACCCAGAAGTACTTAATGATTTTTGATGTGGCACAAAAATGAGGAGGTAGAATTTAGTAATCTTTTATTCCTCATTCAACTTTATGATTGTAGAATGAAATTATTCTAATACAGCTCTTCTAATACAGTTTTACTATTCAAAGCCTATCTGTAACCTTGGAGAAAAAGCCACATTCAGTTTAAAGATGGAGGATGGGAGATACATGTGGCCTTTTACAAAATGGAGTTAGTTTTGGTAGTTGGCAGGCAGATAAGGTAGGCCCCTGAGGATCCTTGGGGTGGACACTTGTTCTGGAAGCTTGTCACAGCCTGAGGGTCATGGCTTGATTGGGAGGACACTCAAACCCTGTCCCTCCTGGAAGCAGAAATTTCAAACCCACTGTTCAAAGTGACCTTGGAGGAAAAAAATAAAGTTGTTATATTTCCATGTTCTGTGTTATCATTCTTCTGATGACATTTGCCACTTAAGCACTGAGGTGGTAGCTCCAGGCTTTCTGTACAGGAGTAAACTATCTCTCAGCCCACTTTGCACAGCAGGCTGATCAACTCTATTATAGGTATTTGTTGCAGATCAATAAAAATAGCAGAGATTCTTTCCTTCACATTTAACACCTTGAGAAAGACTGTATTTCTATTTGGGACTAAGTCTGTTCTCCCACATCCCTCCACCTGCCCCTCCCCCCCCCCACCCCAAAACAACCCCCAAACCATTGGGTGATTAACACCCACCAGAAAGACCTTTTTGACTGGGAGAGAGACCTTGGAGATTATGAAGTGTAATTTACAAGAGATAGAGATGATGCTCAGAAAGGTCCGGGTCTCGCTCAGTGACACAGTGAAGTGAATGAGGGTTGATATCTGATGTTTGAGGCAGGTAGGATTCCAGCTGGAGGGGCTATTTTTGCTGCTGTTTTGATAACAGATAACAGTTTGCTGACACTGCCATTCTCCCTTCTGTAGTCCCAGAGGAAAAATGCAACTCTTCAGTGGCTTCACTGAGACGAGGCAGGTAGAACAGGTTACTTTTGGGCCTTCTCCCAAGCAGGTCTTTGGAAGGCAGAGTGGGCCTTGGGATTGTCTTGGGGTCAGAGCAAGGTCATCAAGGGAACTGTTTATCCAAACTATAGGAAATTTTTTCTTTTTTTTTTAATTTTATTTTGCCATTGCAGATGAGAGATCCAAGTAATGATCTCAGTAGCAGCTCAGCTCTTATCTTGTAAAGGAATCTGCTGATTCCTGGGAAGATGGGTCTGTCTCAGCTTCCTTGCACCTGGGTCACTGCTCATTTCCCATAGCTGGAGCCCCAGAGGCAAGGCAGACTCTTCCTCCTGGGGTCCCCAATAGGATCTTCCATTTAAGGTCCCATTTAGGTCCCCATTTAGAATCTTCTCCTGCTCTTCCCTGCCTCCCCTCAGAAGGGTAGCTTTGTTGGTGCTCATCTTGTGAATAATATAATTTTTGCTTTAGCTTCTCCACAGGAGTAAGTATGTGTAGGTTCTGGAAGTAGAGTTCTGCTCAAGAGGCAATTGTTTGAGCCAGAGAACTGGGTAGGAAAGGGGAAGTGAAGGAGAATGTGTACCCATGTATAATGGTGTCAGAGGTGCTTGGCCTTGGATGGGCCTGGCTCTACCACTCACTAAATAACTAGCGTAGGGCAGACTACTTAATGTCTCTGAGCTCCTCAGAGCGAAATAATTGTGACAGCAAAGGCCAGTAATAACATTATGAAATTGCTGGAACTATATCATAAGGGATATTTATAAAAGAGAAGGTGCTGCACACAGCACTGGTTCATTTATTTTAACTGTTGTGCATGATTTCTTCATATGAAAAGCAATTTAGTTTTATTTACTTGGTCTTAATAAATCTCCAGACATCATGTTGAGTATAAAAAAGCAAATAGAAAAAGGTTTCATAAATTTAAAAAAAAACATACCAAATGAGATTTATGTGTTTTTTTGTGGATAGATACCTAATTAAAGGATAAATTGTAATATAAGGTTAGAAATGTATGGGAATTACACAGTAAGAGGAACCATTGCTTGGGGAGGGCTGGAAGGGGAGGAAAAGGCATAGGGAGGGCTTCAGCTCTGTCTTTTTTTTTTTTAAAAGGAATCTGTTGTAGTAAATAGAGTAAAATATAAATATCTGTTTAACCTGGGAGGTGGAATCATTAAGTGTCTGCTGTCTCATGTACTTTTTTCCTTCTGAATCCTTCGGTCCCTTTGGAATAGAAGGTGAGGGATAATTTGGGTTTCTGTAATCGAGTGCTGTGTTAACATGCTGGTTTCTGACTTCTGCACGTTAAATTTGGTGCCTGTTTGCAGGAAGGTATTGTGTTCTGACGGAGAAGGCAATGGCAACCCACTCCGGTATTCTTGCCTGGAAAATCCCATGGACAGAGGAGCCTGGTGGGCTGCCGTCTATGGGGTCGCACAGAGTTGGACACGACTGAAGCAGCTTAGCAGCAGTAGCAGCATGGTTAACACCATAAATATATTTTAGTTATCGTTGGAATTTCTCAAGTTTCTCTCTCAAATAATATAATCTTTTTCAAAATTAGTATAAATCATTACAGATTTCAGAAAAATAAGTAATATGTTATAAAAATTTTGTTCAATCTTTTACACACAAACATTGTTGTTTGTTGCTAAGTTATGGTCGATTTTTTTGCAACTGCATGGACAATAGCCTGCCAGGTTCCCTCTGTTCATGGAATTTCCCAGGCAAGAATATTGGAGTGGGTCGGCATTTCCTTTTCCAGGGGATCTTCCTGACCCAGAGATTGAACTTGTGTCTCCTGCATTGGCTGGCAGGATCTTTACTGCTGAGCCACTAAGGAAGCCCCACATAAAGATAACCTATATTAATATTTGAAGTTCGTATCTTAGTTTTGTTATTGTAAGTTAGTTTATGTATATTATTTTTTTAATATTGCCTATCATGTTAATGTTGAAGTAGAATGATGTTTCAGAGTTGTAAATATTAATCATAAGGAGGGTACATTTAAAAATATAATTTGAATGAATATGGTGTAAATGAAATATTTTTCATCATTTTCCTACTTATTTTCTGAATTGAGTTATCTCCTCAAGTGGACTAAGTTTTTTGGAGTTATGTTATCATAAATATGACCCTTTCACTTTCC